GAAGCAATTATTTTTGGTTCGGTTGCCTTTCTAAGGATCTGCAGAAACGACTTAAAAGTGTCTCTGGAGGTGCCAAATGTCTCAGAATATTTTTCGAGGGGCTTTCCAGGGTTGTAAAACAGTATTGTGAAAGAAACACGCAGGTACGAAAAAGATTCAAAATTCGTCCAAAAAGCAAGAAGAACCAACAATTTTTGGTTTAAAATCCTTCTTAAGGATTCATAGAGACTACTTAAGCACGTTTTTGGAGGTGTCGCATGCCTCAAAAAAGTTTAAGACGACTACAGATTGATCGATGGCTAAACTTGCTAAATACCGTTATTTTAGCCACCGACTTAGAGACCTAGTAAATTCGATTTCTCGAGAAAAAGCGAACCAAAGCACGAAATATTTCTACTGTAGCTTCCCAAGGATGTGTAGAAGCTTTCTAAAGGTGTCTCATTAGGTGACCTTTGGTGACTTTTTTTTAAAATGAAAGTTCGAGGGAAAAATCGGCATTTTTTTATGAAAAATAGGTATCCAACTTCTACCTTGTGTGGGATGTGTCAGAATGCCTCGGAGAAAAATTGTAATTAGTGCGTTACAATCCTCTTAGAGTCCTCTACAAAATGGTATAAGCAGGAATTTTGAGAGACCATTTCATGATTCAGGAGAGGCTCCGAACGCTTTGTTAGAAATAGCCACTTCACGGGTCAGAAAATACGTATCCGACTATTTGCACAGTTTGTGACACTTTCAAAGTGACTAGAAATTTTTTTGAGGTATACTACGTGTAGTTTATGACCCGTAGATACTATATTTATCAATTTTGACTTGAAAAAAAAATGTCGTCCAATTTCATAAACATCGATTTTTGAGCGCTCCCGAGCGGATTGGGACCATAGTGAGGCGCCGCGCATGTTCACTATCGGGGGAATTAAGGCTGTTCGAGGGCATTGTACTGTGAGACACGGTATTTTCGGAACCTCGCACAGTAATGTCGAAGTTATTTTCAGGGGTCAACGCCGTTTTTCCCCCGATGATGATTGATGTGCGGCGTGTTGATCAATCTGTTCAGCAAACGAGATCCAGGTTGATAAATGGAGAATTTGCAGGTGTCTGAAATTTGATGAATTTCGTGTTAAAATGGAAACTTATGAGTGGACTGAACGTGAAGATACCATAAATTGAATGATTGTTGGAATAGATATGACCAAATTATCCAATTTTGTAAAATAGGTTCGTGTGTTTGTAAATGGGAAATGCCGCCAGACGACGTCATTGGGCGGTGCATTTATCCTAAGTATCTCCCATATCAAAGAAAAATTACAAAAAATACTGCGAAATCAGCTCTCTAAGCATTTTCAGAAGAAAAGATAAAAAATGTGCGTGCTAAATTCTCCATTCTTCTCATCATGTTCAACCCGGTTTTATCGTGTACGAAATAGGTTTGATCTCGCAACTTGAATGTTCCTACACCTATCTTTTGTCAATTTTTATAATGAGCGGCGGCTGAAATTTTAAATTTTAGTGCGGCGTTTTTAAAACATGTGTCCGTAATGGTCCTTGCAAGTCAGGGCTCAAACAATTTTGAGTCTTAAATACTTGACTGATTGGGCCTGAAAACGAAAATTGAGAGAGGCATGAAAGCCAACATTAATTTGATTCTAATTTCAGAGGGATAGTGTGAGGTTTCATGGCACTTGTATGTTTTGTCAACTTCTTAATTGTTTGAGGATGTTTTGCTTAACATGAATCTTTCCACCCCTTTTCGTAATACAAACAGAAATCGCCTTTAGAACACCTCTTAGCTCCAAGGACCCCTTTTTTGCCTAATGTTGTTTTATAGAGTCAATCCAGTTTTTCTCCCGATTTTTCAAGTTTCCTCGTTTCAGTAATGAGTCTTAAGCTGAAATGCATCCTTCCCTCTTTTTGTAGACTTCTAGTGCTACCTTGTTTTTTCTGTGTTACTAAAATTTTGGTAAAAAAGTCATTCATTCCGGGCGTGCTCTTCACTGAGTCTTTCCCTCATTTTATGATATTGTATTTTAATTTGTTTATCTTTTTAAGTCTTTTATTCATTAAAAGAAGGAAGAAAAATCTGTAGTAAAATTTTAAATTTGACTCTAATTTCAGATGAAGCGGCCGATGATGGGTTCTATGCAAATGAAACAGTCCAACCCCGCCGACTCTGTTAATAACAATGCTATGATGGTGCCCATCGTCTCGTCGAGTCCAAGTCAAGTACCTCTGCAGGTGAATGGAGACCGGTCGTCAGTGCGCAGCTCCTCAAATCCTAGTTCAAATTGTAATAATATAAATAACAAACTTCAACGACCAATATTACCAAAGCCTCCACAGATCTCAGCATCTGCTCTACTAGATCTACAAAACTCTGTCATCGGAGAAGGCAGACAAGGTCCAATTTTAGATGTGAAATCGATTATTGCTGACTACAGATCAAGGCATCCTGAAACAATACCACGGAGAGGTCGTCGACCGACAGGTGGTCCAGCGGGACCAATGCAGCCCAAAGTAGAGAGCTCCATAGTTTCCTCCACCCGATTTAGTGGTAGTCCAGCGCTAATGAGCATGGCAAATCTAGCCTTGGGCTCTGGATCTCATGTCCGCACTGTTGCTTCCTCGCAAGATTTTCCTAATAACTTTATGGGTAAGTCTCGCCTATATTTTTTCAATATTTTTTGGCGCCTTGAGATAATTTTTTTTTTATTAAATCCTATGCTCTTACTGGTAGCGGTCTAACATTAGTTGTTCTTGAGAAATGTAAACTGGACCCCATGGTTGTCACAGCTAAATTTCTAAGAAATTATTTTACCAACAAGTAGCTAAGGTTCAATGCAAGGCTAAGAAGCAGTTTATTTGCAGGTCTGCAGTTATCAGCGGAACAAAAGATGACAGAGAAGCAAATTTTTTCAGAGTTGCAATTCAACCCAAGTTAGGTGCATAAACCAGCATGGGTCAATCATGAATGGAAATTTGAATTTTCAACAGACAATGCTAGTATTCTAAAAATACAGTTGTGAGTGGTGTAATTCCATTTTATGCCAACAAAAGATCTAAAGTTAAATTTTTCCCTGATAATTTTAGCCCCCACAATGCCCCATTTTAACTTTGTATATTCTTTTTATTAAACCACATTTTTGAGCCCCAGAATCAAACTGCCTTCTTTTATATTTAGTTTAACATTGTTTAGTGTTTTGTGTAACAAAATATTTATATATCCCCCTCCATACAATGTTAGCAATAACTCAATTTTGAGTTTTCTGGCATCAAACATTCCTTTCCCGGTGGTGCCACAATGGTGGTCCCAATGGTGCGAGTTCGAAGATTGAAGAAAGGGCAAGACAAAGAGCAGGATCATGAGAATGAAGGACATTAGACAAAAGTGGGCATATCAGAAAAATAATTGAAATCACTCAATTATTTAGTGTACCTCTCCAGTCTCCATGGTTTTTTCACGCTTGAACTATTCAAATACCCTTATTAAACTGATTCTTAGCATTCTGACCGTACCTCTTTTCATTACTACGCAACAAGTCCATTATAACTCGCGTATCTCAGCATTTGTAGAATTTTTTTAGGATTGATATAATGTTAAATTGCAATGCAAATTGATATAACTCTCTGCTCTGTTTAGTTGAACGCTCTTGAACTAATTCAATTTTTCTTTTGCAGGTCATGATATATCTAGACCTTCCAGTGCAGACTCCATGAAAAATTCAGAGCCCAATGCAGCGAACGTACAAAGTTCGAATAATGTCAGTTTCAAAGATTTCCTTGTTCATTTTGCGAAAATGAAACAAGATAACCTGTCGTCTCAAGGAGGTTCTCCACAAGTTAATTCCAATAAACCATCATCGCAACCGCCACCATATCCTGAAGTCACCCTTCATCCAGTGGCAGCTCCGCCCTCTCCACCTCAGACTCAAACATCTCTGCTTCATGGGATATTAACGAAGTCAAATAATCAATCAAAAAGTAATGCTAATTCACAGCATAGACCAACAGCGTTTTCTCCAACTTTGGCACGTCTCCTGACAGCGCCTGAAAAGAACTCGAGAAATATGCGCTTCCAAGAAGCTGCTGCAGCTCCTCAGTTCAGACCACCTGTTGCTAGTAATAAAAACTATACAATCAACGACATTTTCACACCTAACAAAGTAAGTTTCCACGAGTTTACCATAGTCTTACATGTTTCCACAAAATCTCATCACATAGGATCAGTTTTTCATGTCAGAGAATCATTTTTTGTGCTATCTGAAAGTAGTAATACAATGGTTTAAAGGATGAACTGCAGTCTTACATTAATATTTTACTAAATGATAATGGTCTAATCTGCAATATTATACAAGCAGATGAAACCATGAAGCATAATGGACTAAAAATATAAAGGTTCATTTCAAGGATTTTTTCCTCATCCCTCATTCTTCTTTTCTCTCCCATTTCTCATTCATCCTGCAAATTTTGACCCATTGAATTTGATTTTTCAATTTTTTGCAAGGTACCTACCTAAATTTTTAGCCTCTTACTCAGAAGGTAACTTTATTATCAATTTCTTGTGAGAAGAGTCTGCACTAATATTTTAATCAAGTACACATATATTTGAAACAAATTCAGTGGATTATTTTTCTGATGTTTTCCTCAGTAAGTCAATGATGATTGTTCGAAGAAATTGCACCTAATTGAAAATATTACTTTTGTGATGAGAAGGTGGTGTAGTTTTAAGCATTTGTCTACAAAAATTATCTTACTTTCTCGTTACATTGTTAATTTGTAAATCTCTCTTTTTTTCAGAAATCAAGGAATGAAATTACCATCACTCCTGTTAGCACCATTCAAAAATCCAAAGATGAAGTTGTCCTTTTGGTAAGAAATCTCTCCTTCATAATATCCTTAAATCTGTAAATTCATGCCATTTTCATACTGATCAATATTATAATTTTTTTTTTATGTGTTTTGTGTCAGTAAAGACTGGCATTTTGACAAACTTGACTTTTTGTATGCTAATTTCAATGGGAAGTGAGAATAATGTCGCGTAAACATTGCTGAACTAAAACATCTACAGTAAAGAAAATGAGTTCAAGGTGGCAGACACAATGTGCCCAGCAACAGTTTCAGTACAAAGCAGAGGAAAACAGCTGAGAAGATTTGCACCAACAAAAGCTTCCCTCTGCCGCTGCAGATGCAATGTTTTACTAAAATTTATCCTTTGCTATTAGCCCAATCCTTGCTTGCTATGGGCAAATAGTTTCCTCTTTCAATTACGACCTCTATAATAAGTGTTTTGATGGGTGTTTGCAAACAGAAGATAGTTTCATTTCAGATAAAACAACCGAAATTATTTAAGTAATTGATCCTAATTCGAGTGCATCAAATACTAGGGTTCTTTTGCTTGCACAGCAAGATTCTGGCTGCAAGAAGTTGAAAATTCAAGTCTTTCTCGGGTGCTCATGTGGTCTGTGAGCCTTATAGGGTCTTACTTCGTCGAAATCAATTCAGTCTGAGTTTCTTTAAAAATCGTTTTCCTCCTAAATGCAACCACTATTTTTTTTTCTTTATTTAAGGATGACGAAGAAGATGCAAGTGACAGGTTGGTAATAGATGAAGGAGCTGCCGAACCTGTTGCAGAAGTTCCTGAGTGTCAAGGTTGTCATCAAAGGTCCGCTCAGTTTGTCTGTGCTGGTTGTGGGAACCAGTGGTATTGTAGCAGAGAATGTCAGGTAAGAGCATAATGATGTATACTTTATCATATTGCCTAAAATTTGATGAATCAATGAAACAAACAGGAAATTTTTCTTTTGTAACAATGGGTCAGTTAAGCTATTTTTTTATCGTGGCATTCAAAAATCAAAATGTATGCAATTTTTCTTTTTTAATGGCATCTGGGAGGAAAATTCAAAAATTAGGGTAACTGGTAGTGGAGTTTGAGTTCTGCACCATTTACTTTTGAGTTAAAAGTCATGATCAATATGTTGGCGGAATCAGTTTTGGTAGAATGCACGGCCGTGTCGCATTGTGTTGTTTATCAGCATGAAATCGCGGATAGGCTATGCAATTTCAACAAGTCCAGCTGTCAGCTAATGTACTTATCAGATTTTCTCATCTCCCCATTTGCCAGGGTCCTCTCTTTCAGACTGTTTTAATCGTTTCAAATCATATTTTTACGTTATTACAACACTACAGACCTGATCTATCCTCTAATGAGATGTCAGCAGCAATTTGAACAGCAGAATGGCGGTAGTCAGCAGGTAAACATGCACCATTGCAACCTTCTTCCATCGGTACTGCCTAACCTGAAATCTGTTTCATGAAGGTGAATGGGACAGTTCAAACATGCTTTTATGAGGACCCTGCAAAATAAGGTGTTAGCCCTCCATGGGGATAATTTATGTGTGGTTATACAGTGTGCATTTTTGCTTGAGTCAAAAACTGAAAGATTTAACTGTTGACAGGCCAAATCGTTTGCTTGACAGTCATTTTTTTTTAAAGGGAAGTACATAAGAGTTTTAAGGGAGAATAAATTCCCTGCTGTTTGTATCAAGTTGTTGTGAAATTGATTGTAATTGCTAAATTATTTAATTTTGTTGACAGGTTGAAGCTTGGGAAGAGCATTCTGAAATGTGTTCAGAGCATTAAATGCTGTTGCAGAATTTGATTCAAAAGATTCTTATCGTGAAGGTGCCAGAAAGATCTCAGTTAATTATCTTATATAGGATACGATGTGAACAAATGTCATCAATCCTCATCTAGTTGGTTCATGGGACCATCAAACTATCTATTGTACAAAGATAGAATTTTCATACTGTTTTTTCTTCCTTTTAATTTGTGTTATCTTTCCTCAAACTTTGTTTTTTATGTTTGTATAATGAGTTCGTCATCATAGACCTCATCCAAACTACAAGTTGAAAAGTATTTTGACTAGTCATACAAGTTACTTCAATGGAAACTTAATTATTCCTTCTCTCAATTTTAATCTTTATCAAAACGTTTGTCTTTATCACCTCACGTATGAAAGTCTGATTGCAATAAGATGTATTGCTCCAATTCAAAACTTCCATTGTACAGTAGAGTTGTGATTTATTATTACTTTTAAAAACATCACTGTTTTATTACACTCAGCTGAATCTTTTGACACCATCACAAATATAAGATGGCAGTGAAATAGTGAATTATTCTACTCTCCTCATGTCACAACTAGTTGCAGCTAAAATTAATAAAGTTTGTGATGACTGTGAATCGTGATTTTTACTGACTGATATAAGTATATTGCTCATTGTTGGAAAGAAAGATGTATCATTTCTAAGAAGAGCATATTGAAGGGTGAATTTATCATACAGCATAACTGCCTAATATTTTGAATTATTTGAGCTCCTCGTGTTTTTTGCTATTTGACCAAACTTCGGGTGCTGTTACTTATGAACACTCTATTAACGTGTTTGAAAATTGATTACAGTCACATTGTCCCTAAAATTGTGTATTTATTTGTAACATTTATGTTATTTTAATTATTTTATTACCTTCTGCGTTTTGATTTGGAGAGACATCTGTAAAAATATTTTAGGCTGTCTCACTACAATAGCGTTATCCTACACTTTTTTGTACATTTTATTTCAAGTAAGTTATCTTTTTTCAATGTATATACTCTAGTATAAATCAGATTTAAAAGATACTTTTAAATTTTTATGGATGTAATGTATCCACTAGTTAATATTCTTCAAGGGTCTCCCAGAAATTAAGTATTTTTTATCTCCTACAATTTCACAGGTAAAAATAATATGTGCAAATTAGCTTACAGCTACTACCAGCTTTTAAACAAGCTGAAGGACACGGAACTTGGCTCTGCTATGAGCCATACCAATGGACCATCATACAAGGTGCAAATTATAGGATTCTGGATACATGTTTCCTTCTTAAAATTTCATGTTGCACATAATTCAGGATACGAAAATTGCTTGAATTAACTTTTCAGTAAGAAATTAACGTTTTCAGTTAACATTGGTTACAGGAAATTCGAATTGCTCGCTCACAAGAAAAACAATACTTTACATGAGTCAAATCGTGCACTACAATGATTATGGCAGTCCTCTTAATCTAGCAGTGTTCCTTCCCTCCCCAATGTTGTTTAAAGTGTGAACAACGTACAACAACTAAGTTAAAGTGCCAAGATTGAGGTTCTCATACTTTCATGCCACAGGCATTAATGTGGCAACGTTCAGTGCGTGTTTTGACTGGTGTAGTGTTTTATTTTCTCATGAGCGGGAGGTTTGAATTCATGCATCGGAACACGTTAGCTCATTTGGCAGTTAATTCGAGTGATTTTTGTTGCCTGAATTGTGCTCTGCGTGAACCTTTAAGTAGAAAACGTGTATCAGAATGATTTAAAATGTACCTTGTCTAGCGGTCCATTGTCTCCAACTGTAAAAAGTTAACAGGACCGAGGAATCAATCTTTCTTTTTGGATAACCCTTGTAATTATACTGATGTAAAACTTTTAAAACCTGACGTATTTAGCAAATATTAAAATCCTATCTCATCAATCATCTATATAACTGCATCCTCTTGAACAGGAAGTGTTTTTTATTTTTTTCAAAAAAGTTTAAATATTTTAAAGCGCAATATAAAATTTTGGCTGAGTCCTGTAATTCTGCAACCAAAATCTTCAAATTTTTCAGTATCTAATGTACATTTATCTGTGTACAACTTGTAATTGAACTGAGTACGCAGACTTTTTTGTGTTTATATTTCTATGTGTTTGTGTAGTATATTTGCCTGGATTGTTTTTTTCCGCTCCAGTCGATACTTAAATTAAATTACTAACTTTTTGAGCTGTCATTTCATCATCCAGTTCATTAGCCGAATGTTTGAACAATTCAAATAACACATGATGATAATCTTTCCAGCTGGGTCCTCTTGAGCGTTTTGCTTTGTGCTTAGTTGAAAACCGGTGACTTTTACAAATGAATCAACTTGAGTGAATCCATGATAATTATCAACTTAGTGCTAATTCAGTCACATTTTAGTCTGGTAGCTCTGCAACTCAGTTTAAGTCATTCATCAGGAGCATGTCTTGCTCATCAGTATCATATTAGTGAGTTACCTGTTTCTTTTTAGTATTATTATTTAGTTGTTTTTGTTTTTATTTTAAATTTGTTTTTCCTTCTTTTTTCTCACTGCATCAACTTTCTTAATCCCTTTAGCTAAGTATTTTACAAAGGGATAGATTTTTAAATAATGAAGGTGCAAAGGGATGAAGCAAAATTTCATTACTGTATGTAATCCATTTTTAATAATGTTTCTTGACTGATTGATCTTGTCAATGCACACTCTGTTTTAAAGTAATCTCTATCTTGAAAATAATTGTCCGAATGACTCATATCAAACATCTCGAGGTGTTAAGGATTCAGCTTGTTTTTTCTATATGTCTCCATTAATTATTCCCCTAATACTTATTTATTTTTACTTTTTTTGTTTATTTATTCATGTTCTCCTTGGAGGTAAGGAATCAAATTCATTTTAGATGAAAAAAAAAGTTGTAAAAAAAATTTTTCACTCGAATATGAAAAACTTGGAAATTATTACTTTTGTTACTTACGGACTTTTTGTCTTAGAAACTTAAAGGACACTTTTCTCCTTTAACTGACTGGAAATTATTTAAATCTGGTGACTGAGTAGCCCATTGTTATAGTAAAAACTTTAAGGTTTAATAAATTATTTTTTTAATAAATAGATAAACATCTTTTTTTTCTTGCTATCACATACAAATTCATCATGATGGTCATTCAGGTTATTTACTGCTCATGAGCAGAAAGGAACCTCAATTTCTACCTCCCCATATCAGTACAAATAAATGCAACGCCTGGAAAACATAAGTTGGTACCTGCTCACATTTTTTCATCATTACATAAAAAAATAATTTTACTCTAGGACGGACATCAAATTTTTATCAGCTTTTTTTCCTAACAAAATAAATTGTTAGGAGTTTTCAAAGACTCCAGTTTTACCGTAGTTTGCCTGTGACTATCTTAAGAAAGACAAACTGGTGTCGTATGATGAAATCCTTTCTTTTTACGTGTGCATTACTTGGCGGAAGCTGAACTTCGAAACCATAAGTGAAACAATGAAAAAATAGCCAAGCTACTGCTTGCCTTACTAATGCCTTACTTAAGTACTTGCTATTTCTCAGGAAAGAGGATTCTGAAGTCAGGGTGGGTCTTGCAAAATGAACACAAAGATTTCATTGCATGAAACATTCATTTCATTTGCAACTGACAGAAGTGTCAGTTCAGGTTCAGATAATGGAGATGAAAGTACTGTAAAAATTGGTTTTACTGGCATGTTTATTGTTTTCAAATAAAAATAACAACCACTAACAGGAAGTGATAAACAAATAATATAAAATAAAACAATGGCAAAAATCGAAATTGTTGAGTCTCATTGATTCAGCATAAAAAAGTAAAGAGACAAATGATAGAGAAGTAGGACGGTGCACTTGCTTTTATGGTAGGTGATATGTGATGAGAAAAGTACACAATGGAGGGAAAAGTACTGGTGATACTTTATAAAAAACTGCCTGAAATGGACAAAAAGCAATTACAAAAATATGTAACATCAAAAAATTCATCAGCATGGAACTGCGAACTCTGAAGCCATACAAGTGGAATACTATGAGAACAGTCTTGAGTCCAAGGGAAGTCTAGCAGCCTCTTTCTGTCACTCTTGCCTGATGTCGAAGCATCGGTTTTTGATGTAAATAAAGTGACCATTCCACGCATGAACTGGGGCTCTCACACTGGCATTAATCCTTTAATTTCTCAGCCATTTCTGCAGAAAATTTCTTAAGATTCTCAAGATCTGATCTATGACCCGTCCCCAACCTATCAATACCTTCCATAGTCATCAGGCCAACGGTCTTTAAAAGGCAACTTTTGACAAATCCATCCATGAACCTCTTTGAAGCCGCTAGTTTGTGCAGGCGAAGGGCGCTTAAATACTTAAGCAGACTCATAGCAAGTGCGTTTAAGTTAAATTAGCAGAGGAGGACTTGGAAACCTACCATTGTGGAAATTGTTTTCATTGTATACCAAGAGCTCAGCTTAATGTGTGCTTTCTCCCCATCCCCTCCCCCCTCTCTAAAAAACTTCTGAAAATCTTTCAGGTTAAGGACAGTCAGGGATTATTTATATGACAATGCGTAAAAGAACATTCTTAACTGCCTTTCTTTCTGAGAGACCGCAGAGCAGTAATGAATAAAACTTGGCTTAATAGCATTATTTGAGAATTCATTGGGATTTTGTTCATGAATACCTTTAGCATTAGGTAAAAAGGAATGAAAAAGATGTGCCCTCTTTTTCGGCTAAGTCCTTTTTATACTTGCTAAGAAAAGACAAAAGCAACTTTTCAGTTAGGCTGAATTAATAAAAAATAAACGATTGGTATAGAGAGATGACAGAACGACTCCTACCCAAAAAGAATAAATTTAAACGTACTAGAAATGTTAACATTAAAGATTGGCACCTTTGTTCTTGAGAACAAAACTTTTTCAGTTCAATTTGTTTCCCCTCAGTAAAAAAAAGTACGCACATTTTTAACATAGTGCTGTACATTATTGAACAAGGAAACAATCCATGAACATTGATCTAACTTTTTATGCTGGATGATTTCAACCATTGACATCAGTTTTTGTGACAGGATTTTGTTCAGTCGGGAATACAGATAAAATAATAATGTTCATCATTTACATAGTTAGATTCGGCGTACTAAGCAGAAAACTATGTCAGAAAAATGACAAAAAAACAAAACAAAAAAACCTGTAAAAACATGAGAAAACTTACATGCACAAATAGGAGTTTTGATGTCTAAAAATTAATGTCTGCACAATGTCAATCCATTATGAATCTTTGCCAGTAAGTAGTACAGACTAGACCTATGGCTTTGATGACCATTGGCAACATACATTGTATACTATGTAGTTCAGGAAATCGGAAAGACATATTTACACTTTGAATTTTTCATCAAACAAATGAAGAGTGAGCAGGGTGTCTACTGATATTTCATCATTTTGATTCATTGCTTTTTCATTACCTTTTCCGTGCTTTTTTTTTTACTTCCCTCAGCACTAATTTTTTGGAGCGTTTCTAAAAATCTTTGCCTTTTTACTACCCTTTCCTTTCACTTTCTTACCTTAAATGCATATTGAACTTTTCAAAGGACAGACTTTGGTTCCCAGACACCTGAATGGATGCATTTTTCAAATTTTTTGAATCAATGGCTTTCTTAGTGCTCCCAATGATCTTCAATATTTAGAAACGAAAACACAATGAGAGCCTTGACACTCAATTAAGAGAAGCCACCTTAATTTCAGCTATAAGCACAAAAAAGGAAATTCTGAGAAATCCTAATTTGGAGAGTGGAATGTAGGAATGATGAAAAAAAGGGGCACTTGATTAAGTGGACAGTGATGAAATAGCATACCCCGAAGACTTTTTTTAAAGTTCATCACGAAAATACAGTGCATTCGTACCTTTACAAGGAAGTTTCGTACATTTTCTGCACTCCCATACCTACCTTGTAAAATCCGTGCTTTCTCTGTGCAGTAGACACCCTGTGAGGGCTTCATATGAAACTTAATTGACATATACTTGTATGATAAAAATTCTAATATTTACACAATACAATAAAATAGAGAGGGGCTAAGCCTAATTCAAAACCTCTAGGAGGATAAATTATTTGAATCCTGAACAATTATACTTAGTGTAAATTCATGCGTAACAAAGCAGTTAGTCAGTCACAAAGAATGTCATAATTTTTGAGCGAATTTAATACAAAAAGATTTTGTTTAAAAATACAGAACAACGTTATGTTAGGCTAAAAAAACCAACAGATACTCGAGAGAGCCGAAAAATTGAAGGACATCTTCAGTAGAGGATAAAACAAGAATCATCAATGACTGCAGGCGGTGAGAAAAGTTTTTTTGACGGAGACAAACAATTAGAGACAATCACTTGGCAATTAGACGAGATTCATGGCAAAAACAATTATGACCCTATTTTTGTTTTTATTCTTGCATGGTGTCTTTTGGACCACCAAGATAAAGTAAAAATTTTATTGTATCTCAATTTTAAAAGAACATTTTCTTTTATCAACTGACAAATCTATGTATAATGCTAAAAGTATGTGAAAGCTGACAGGAAAAACTTTTTGATTAATTAAAATTTTTACTCAACTCCGTGGGTGCAGTTTGATTTGTTTTGTTTGTGAATAAATGGAATCATGAAAACTTCCTCAATCAATGTAATTTAAGCAGCACCTTAAAATACCAGGGTCACTATAAATACTAAAGCTGATACAGAAAAATTCATCTGATCAGATGAGTATTATGAATGGCAAAGCAGAAATCAGTTTTACTGAACTGTAGGACAAATGATTCCAGTAAAAAATGAAAATAAAAAACGAATAAAAACAATTAAGAAATAGTGCTTAGCTATTGATTGTATAAAAATATATTGCAAGACGACAAAATCTCAAGGAGAAACAATCAAAGTTCAGGAGAACGAAAAAAAAAAAAAAACCTTGCTTGTAGAGGCATTTCAAGGAAATATACGGTTAAGTATTAGCAAAAAGACTTCATCAGTTTTTTTAAAGGAATTATGAATCATAAATCACATGAACGAGGAATTGGGCATGGATTTGGAGCAATCATGCTAAAAATTAATAAATTTGCACTTTCTTGTCCTCGGAAATCGTCCTGAAAGGTATCCGAACTCTTCATTATAAGGTAATTAACTTTAAAAACTTAATTAATTGAGAAGGACAGAATTCCCAGCAATTCATAGCATTTTGAAAATTATACATATTATTAAAAATTCTTGAACTCCCAATCTGTCAGAGATATCCTTGACTCCATGTAAAAGTACTGATTTTTTTCTTGCCCTCCCCCGTTTTATCAAAACATTGAGAACTAATGCAGCTCCAGCCTGGACCTGTAATTCAAGGCTGCTATTTTATCCTTTGCTATGAGCTCGAGATTTAAAATAATATCACAAGCAAAAATGCACTGTTTTCTAACGAGAAAGTCATAACATTTTTCACCAAAATCGAGTAAAGAAAAAAAAAATTAAATAATAGTAATAATAAATAAAAAAAACCTAGAGAACTTATTAGGCATAAACAAAATTAATGGAAAAGCTGATTTGTACTTAAGACTAGCCCATAAAAAATGAGTTTCCTGTGCAGCAAATGGTTCAATTTCAGGGTTTGCAAATGATGCAACTTACTCATTCATTATGCCTAATTTTTTGTACTTGCCTAGATAAAAATAAAAAAAAAAATGTTAGTGTCGAATTCTACAAGTTGCTTGTGAACTTGAGCAAGCATAAAAGACTTCAAGCTTTATGGGAGATTACTTTTAACAGATAAAGCACATTAAAGAAAAGTGGAGATTAAATACATGAAGTGGAATAAAAAATAATACAAACTCCATTGACCCCATGGGAATAAACATCTTTCCAACATACTGAATTTTCATCAACCTGTTGAGAATTTAATTGAAACTTCTCCTTAAAGAGGAAAACTAACTAGACTATTATAAAAATGTAAGAGATTTTACATTCAGCTTTTCCCCAAAAAAGTAATTTCTTGGCATAAATTTCTAAATGCACTAGCATTTGTATAGGATGAATGAGAATAATATTTGTACAAAGTTTTAATATTGCGTTCTGTCAAATTTACAGCCTAATAACAAAAAATGGGGGAAAAATGATAAAACCAATGCTCACTTTTCAAATTTTCGAAACTCCTAAATAAATGGATACTTCAGTCAGAGAGATAATTTGAATGCTACTGAGCTATTTGGTGCTGCTTTGACTTCGGTTGTTTTCCTGCAGTTAGTGAATAGTAAAATTTGTGGAGCAGACCTTTCTCGTTTGCGTATACAATGAAATCTCTTGTCGATAAACCAAGAGAAGTTTCAGCTAGAGTAGATTTTAATCTTATCCACTTTGCCACTTAACACGAAATCAGCCTTTTCCCAAATTTTCAATACTCTGTGTACTCTTTCATAAATTTTACATTTTTTTAAATTAAATTTTCAAATTTTATCTCTTTCCTTTACTTTTCTTCAGTTTTTAATGCTTCATCTGAAAATATTTTAATTTTAAGTCTGTAATCTTTAAGTTTCTCAAATTTTAATATCCCCAAGTTAAATCTAATAAATTTGATTTAAATTGATGTGTTTAATTTGAAAATGTGAAGTGTCATCAACATCAAAAAATTATTGATGGACATCAGAGGTCACAGATTTTGAAGATCATAATTTTATATTAACTTCAAAAAATTAGGTCCGTCATCACAAATCATCTTACGAAGCATTTCTTTCTTTTCAAATTGCTTCTTCTCTTGATTTTTAACTAATGTATAAAATTGAATTTTTTCGAATTTTCCAAAAAATTTTATCCAACTTCAGCAGCTATTCTTCCATGAAATAAGTCACGATTTTGTCTGAAGCGTAATTTATAGTGTATTTTCCGAAGGAAATACACTTTTCATACATAGCACCTTATGCTAGGGTCTAGGGGTCAAAAGAATTTTTGACATAAATGAGATTTTTTTTAACAGTAGTCCAACTTGGTGCCTCTGCACAGTAAAAAACTTAATCTATTCATAGAAAAAAGGAGGATCACAACAAGTGTGATAGAAAAGATCAGAATGGCTTTGTTTAGTTTTATTGGGGCGTTAAGTCCCCTTCCCTCCTTCAAATTTCTGTTTCGAATAGGTTGATTTGCCAGATGTTTCTCCTTTTTCAAAGCAATTATGTACATTTTTCTAGCTGGAGCCATAATTCTGTTGAGGACGTGCGATGATAATTATCTATCATGATGCAAATTTCAAGAGGTGATAGATGGTTAAACTACAGGTAACTTCTTAAACAATGCTTTCTCAGAAGGAAAAAATTTGATGGTTTCGATTAGTTCCAATTTTACACAGGAGTTTACGAAATAAGAAAAAAATTGTCTACTGCATGAGAGTAACAAAAAACGTTGAAACGTTTAAATTTTCCTTCTTGTTATGACCCTTGCATTCATATAAAAAGTGTCAATTCTACAGAAAAAAATTATAAAAAAGAGAGATGTAAGTATAGGTATATGTGACCGTGTATGAGACCAGAATGAGACCTCAGTGTGCAGAGCCACATTTTTCAGGAGAGCCATTTTTCTCAAACTAGGATGAAGACTTAAAATTTGAGGTTAAGACGGAAAACAGTATGGTAAGAGTTGTCGGTATTCTTCTTCATTTTCGCCCAGGAATGCAAACCATATTACAATTTAGTAAACAGGCTCTATTTAAGAAAAGGGACCTCTTTCTATAGACAATCACATGTAACTTAGAATCTAAATTATGCTGGCGACTGGGAGAGGGTACCGTCAATTATTCCACAACTTAACTTAGGTGTACAGTAGAGCAAGGGAAAAGTGAGTTCAGCTGATAGTGAGAGTTGCTAAAATTTACTTTAGTCTTCCTCAGAATCAGTTAAGCTAAAGTTTCCCATTATCTTATTATTACAATAAGAAAGAAAATCGAGAAATATCACTAAAAAGAAATAACTACATATTATGGCATGAATTAATGAGGTAAAATTATTGATAAATGTATCAGTCTTTGATTAAAATAAAAATAAAATGAAATTTGGTGACTAATGGAATTAAATAGTACAAGTCATATGGTAAAAATTGTCAAGCAACTTGGCAATGAGGAATTCAAGTTTAAGACAACGATCAATACCTGGGAGATAAAACTAAAAACTAGCCAGAACGGATAGAGGCTAAAAATGATGCGTAAAAGTTGAAATATCACAGCAATATGGAAGTACGAGTGGACAGTAATAATACGTAGATAGAAAATTGAAGTGTCTATTTTATAGACCCTTTGCAAATAGAGTCCAAAACATTTAAGCCGTGAGGGTCTATCAAACAGGTTAGAGAAGAAAGAATAGAGAGTTCTATTCATTTGGACTACTTATTCTGGGTATTGGTTTTTGTAATGCTGTCTACTCTTTCCCTATCATTATTTCTGTTGAACCCAATCAAGTATTTCATTTGACTCCTCCTCACCAAAGTATCACAAGTACCGTATTTGCTTTGGTTGAATATTGCCAAACGTCTCAAAACTTGTCCAATTTGTTTAGGAAAAACTATTAAACAGTGTCACTTGAAATTTTGCTTCCTATTTCTTTTGTCATTAAGATTAAACACTCGAGTTTACATAAAAGTATGTGCAGAATTTTTAAAGAGAATATTAAAATGGTTTTAGGATTTCCGGCAACATAGCATCTGAACATAAATGGCGCTTGAGATACTTTGGCCAGATGGTGACGATAAGAGTTTGGTAGGATGAAGTAGGTAGAATTACAGGTAACCAAGATCACAGTATACACACTATGACCACAGTTACTTACAGAGGCTATTGTTGGTTCATTTTGGAGTTCGCTGTTCTCTTCCACATAATATCACCGCTTTACAGTATTTTACTTTAATCCAAGAATGCAATGCGAAGTCCCAAGTAGAGATGTTTGCTTAAATTCTTGACAAGCCATGAAATTAAGAGAACAGATGCATTGACAAGATGCATGGACACTGTTTTGTAAATAAATTATAATATTTAGTAAACAGATTCATTGCCATGATGCATTGACACTGTTTATGTGGCTCACGGTGCCTTAGTGCTAGCTACCAACCCTCTCAATCTGACGATACTTTTTCCGCAGATTCGATACAGGATCTTTGAAGAGCACTGGATCAAAACGCATGTTAGAACGTACCAAAGGCATGTAACCAAAAACAGCAGCAAAAGTATTTAAGCAGGTTTGCCGCTGAAGAAAATGATCAGGATCATTCCACGGGGATCTACAAAAGGAGAAGAAAAATCAATTTTAAGACCAAATTTAGTGAGTTTTGATGAAAAAACTAACCTTATTGCTCTTTCTAAAGCTTACAAGAGGATATACGCTAAAAATATGGATTAAATGTGAAGAATTTAGCTTATATCTGATGATTATGTAAAAAAAATTTGCAATTTTAATTTCATTAATGCTGTTTCAGAAATTGCAACTAATAATAGAAAATATAATTTTGGTAAGGTAAAATCCCTCCAAGAGCAAAATAATACATACTTCAAAGAGAGCTGTGATAAATGTCTTACCTTGGTTGATCCTTGTAATGCTTCCTTTGAGTAACTTTAATTGGAGGTCTGCGAGTGACATGACTGACTAGAAAATTAATGAGAATATCTTCGCAGTTTGCTGATTGCTCGACAGTCTTCAAAAGGAGTGGACTCAACCATTCTGAGTAAAGGAAATGGTAATAACGATGATAAAAAGCAGCACCCGTTAAAATGATGGAATAGTCATTAGTCCACTTTGAGGTATATCCCCAGCTTGCCTGCAACAGACGTCAGAAAGACGTTATTCCTAAAATGTTCTGTTTCCAACGGATCTTGATAAGTTTATAAAACACTACCAAGACAGTATCAGATATGCCTGACAGTCAGTGAAAACATTTTTTTGTTAAAAATTACAATGTGGGGACGCAAATCCATGAGGTCCAAAAATCATGTCTATCTGTGCCGGAGACGTTTACTGTAAAGGTATCTTTGTGTTTTCGCTCTCTACACTACCTGTGGGAAGATAGGCTTTGCTGGCGATTGGGAGTTGCAGCATGTCCTACAGTGTGAAAATTTAGCGGCTGAAATATATACGTATATACCGAAAAAAATGAACAAGTAACTTTAGGAAGATTCTTTTTCAGCAAGGGTAAGAAACTGAAAACCACAAAGTGCGTCTTGGTATCAAAATTTCATGTGAATTACAGTGAACACTTCAAAAATTTCCAATTCAACACCTAAATGAGAAATTAGCACTATTAATTTTGATTCACACTTCCTACTTGCCAATTCTGAGACTATTTAAGTCAAATCGGGCACTGAACAAATTTCAGTACGCTTAGAAATAAAATAATTCAGAAAGGCAAAATTCAAACATTGTATTGAAAAATTTAGAGTTGCCATGTGTCAAAGGATGGAGATTTTTGCTGAATTAAGTATTAGTTATTCCCTGAACATTCGAGTTCGTTTTCAATGTTAATTTTGGTTTTTTCACAAGTGAAAAGTTGGAAGTTGGTGATCTAATGTGAATTGAACTATTTTTAATCAATGATAGGTTGATTTTAAGTAGTTTAGTTGATTTTAAGTTTTTAACAATTTAATGATTGAATAACTTGTGATCCTTTGATTTTTTCAGGTGTTGCATTCAAATGGAGAGCACGAAGTTAGATAAATACCTTGGTATCATCCCAATAGTGAGATCTGGCTGGATATCCAACGATACGGTCGGGAAAACTAAGCCAAACGTTGAAAGCAAAATCTACTTCTTCTGTCAGAAGAATGGCATCATCATCTAGAGATAAAACAGCTGGTGTTGTGACTAATTCTAAAGGACGGAACCTGTGAGAAATTGAAACTTCATGGACTATTGATAAAGGCACATGAGATGGGAGGGTTGGCCATCGCGTGTAAGTTGGAGGTGGTTTTTCACTGCACCAAACGATTACCACCTAGAAAAAAAACACACACAGACTGTGAATAAATAGTTTTATATGGAGGCATCTTTCAGTTGCACTGCAGTTGTGAGGCAATGATGTGTGAGTGACTACTAAAATCAATACATACTGGGACGATTAATTTTACCGATCAATCAGTTATTAAATTTTATAGTATTGATATATTCAGCAATGACACATTTGCTGCTGAATTTTATGAAACAACGGACATTTCTCAACTGTTTTTCCTATCAGTAACATTATACAATTAGTATTAAGAATAATGGAAACGTTTTCATAGCACTATCAACCCCCACTAAAAATATTCTGCAAATACAGAGACTTTTAGTTTGATACAACATTTACTTTAAACTGAAAGTTACTTCCGAGTCAGGGCAATATGATCCTTCTCTTGGGCTGAAACGTCCTCTTTCTGAACCTGATACAAATAAAATTGGGAATGGATTTGTTAAGTTTCAACTTACTCTGGCCACATATTTGCTATGAGCAACATTCTTTATCAGCCGATATAAGGGAGTGGTGGGTGTAAGCAGGGATGAAAGTTGTGAATAGATGACTGCTGTAAACCGCTTTTCAAAACCAATATTTATGTAATGAAGGTAGAATGGAAATGAGGAGAGGGCATCTGAAAAAGTTGGTTGAATAACCAGTGCTCCTGGCGCAGTGTTCCATATTAAACCTTCTCGAGCTCGTTGACCTGGAATTCTTTCACGGATGATCTGGAATAGAAGAAATAAAAAAGCTTCAACATGTGGTTTGAATGATGCAGAAAAACGTTTAGAGACTCCATATTGAAAAAAGCAAAAGAGAGAAAAAAACTTGGCAGTGTTATTCCTTCCTCCCTTCCTCTATTTCGCTATTCTGAAAAGAGGTAATTACGAAACTTGCTTAATAAAAAAGCAAGCACTTCCATTTTCTTCAAACAATGATCAGAGCTCTTGTGATCTCCTTGCAATGAAGGATTTCGTCCTGTCACAAGGTATTTGGGGAGGTTCAACAATTAGAGTGGTTGGGATAAGTGGCCACACAAAGAAATGAACCACTTCTTCTCGCTTTTGTCGAAAAAGCGTTCTATTGGTAACAAAAAGTTGTGATGAGAATGCTAAATTTCATAAACAACAGGAGTTTTTTTTTAAACATATTAGGGCAAAATGTTCAAGATGGCAGAGCAATTTCTATTTTTGGAGCAAGAGGCTGCTTTCCGCGAAAGAAATACTTTAAATTAAATTTATTTCATGGCCTTCTATACTTAGCTGCGAAACTTTTAATTTCCAGCAATAATGTGTGAGTGAGTTATGTAATCCGCTGCTGTTATAAGGCCATCACTATTATAATAAGTCGGCCAGGTTTCTCTAAAAATGGCGACCAAGTGGGGGACTTCAAAAAAGAGATTTTTCAGTTCCTAATTTCAACAAAACGGGTTTCTCCCAAAAAATGTAAGTACAACTAATTTCATTAATTTGCAGCCTATTCTGATGAGGCAGATAGCCTCAAAAGCACTTAGTTTTTTTTTTAAAAAAAAAATGTCCTCAATAGTCAGTGTCGGCTCTAAGTATTGGATTATCATCACGAATCATGCTCAAGGGTTTTAAGTAACTGTAACACCAATTTTCCACCGAAAAAGTTAATCAATTCGAGAAAAATGACATTTAAAAAAGGTACAGCTCTTCACCCTTCTCACCTACCCTCGACCAAGATTCTTTCGCAAAGATATCCTCTTCTATCCAAAGTTTCATTTTACTTGCGTGAATGATATCATACAGTGGAGTGGTGTTTTGGTTTTAGGATTAACTCCTTGATGTAACAGAGGATGAAAAAACATTCAAGGCATAATCACTTTCTTTATGGCTTCCACATAGATTCCTTTAATTCCGATACGGAGCAACAGCTGGAGAAAAAGAATCTCACAAAGGAAAGCTAGCTCTTCATTATCTTTAAGACATGCCAACTGTTGGACTTAGGTAAGTATAAGTACCTCTAATGTTGTAAAAACGATTTTTTCTATGGAGGAAAAGTATCTTTCCCAGAGAATCTGTGTTTGTTGACGCAAGGCAAATATCTTCGTGGGTGGTATTGAATGAACCAGTTCTGGAACCTAAAAATAAAAAAGTAAACAGACTATGAGATATTTAAACAGAGCTTTAAAGATAACTGATTTTGCTTACAAAGTGACTAAGAGCTGAAATAAAAACTGAATGCTATCGGCAAACCTCCTATTCAAATGGAGGAGTTCTGATATTTTACCCACCATCTGATTAGTGAGGTTTTCCTACCAATAAGGAAATTTTTTGAGGCATTGTTAGTGTAAATTAACATGATGTACACGCAACTTTTGCCAAATGCATTGTAGCATATTGAAATTAAGGACGTCAAGTTCAAGTTCAGAGGCCCTCATTTGGACGCATTTAAATCAAAAGGAACTATATTCATTTGACATGAGCTTTGCCATGCATGCATCCTCATAGATCTCAGGGATCAAGTTAGAATGGATGAAGTTCCTTTTGATTAAATACGGCCATTTAGTGGTTCATTAGTTCTGATAAAAAAACACTGCATGCGGTGCAAAAAATTTGATGCTAAAATACACGTAAATAGCTCTTCATGAAAAACGTACTTGTAAGAGCAACCTCTCATCAGCCAAAACAACAGCTTTATTCCAGTCGATAACTTCATCAAATGGTAGGACCCATCCATTGGATAAAAGTACCGGTATACAGCCAGCTTGAAGAACCTCTAGAAACCTGAAAGAGCCCAAACGGCGCCCACGTGGCACGAGACAAAACGTTGAGTTGAGCAGAAGGACCTCGTAGTCGTATCTGAAACAAACATAATCATAAGAGTAGGTAAGCAAAAAATGTTTGGCTTACGAGTAGTTACAATTTTGAATAAACACGAATTTCAAATACTCATGGTCGCAGTTTAGCCCGCCTTGAAATGGATTCCAGCTTCATCGTAGTTTTTAGCAGCAACGCTGAAAGGGTTGCGCGCATATCGTTAAAAAAATATCCGTTTATCTCAACGGAAAAAGGAAGTCGCGGAGTATGGATTTTCCGGTGAAAAGAGGGATATTCGTCACAAAGATAGCGGCGCTGATTGTGAGCAGCAGCGGTTGCACATGATAAAATATTCACTCCATCATCGTCCCCAACACAGCAACTTCCACGTTGAGTTTACATCAACATGCTTGCACACTCCAACCTCGTTTTGTCGTTTCTCAGACGAAGCTTAAAATATTAGCTCAAATAATTCCACCTGTTACAGAAATAAAATTGTGCAAGTTCTGTACAAAATTTTGCTGATTTTTTTAAGTAATCAGAGGGAAAATCGGTGAAATTTTTAGCTTGAAACGCTCAATCTCTGTAGAGCTGGTAAAAATTTAAGTGCTCCCAGGTAGCACTTCCTGATGAAGAATTTGCGATTATATGCGATTTACTTATCACAAGAAAATCGCTCGGATCATCATCGCGGATTTCACCCGCTTTCATCGCGAGTTTTTCCAATCAATCGAATCGCAACTTATCACGATCATTCTGACTCGGGCTGTTCAGAAACGTCAAATTGTAATAGGCCACTTATTAATGGTGGTAAAGTCAAATTATAATCTACGGTACACACAGTAGTGAGATGATGAGGACGTGACAGGACATGTTTGACGGTGAGAAAAAAAGTCCACGGATCTTGGTTTGAATCTTATCCAGGGTGTCTAGTATTTTTTTAATTTTAAAAAATCCTGATATTTTCCTGATATTTTAAGAAAATTCCTGATTTTTTCATTTTGAAAATTCCTGATATTATCCTGATTTTTCTCGACTCTTGGCACGGTAGGCAAAAATCAGTAACGACTTTCTCCGCTGAGGAGATTTACGTGAGAAAAATTCCTGAAAACATCCGATTTTTCCGATTTTCCTGATCGACCAAAATCCCTGATATTTTCCGGTTTCTCCTGATGCTAGACACCCTGTTATCATATTTCAAATTTAGAATAGAAAACTATTTGGTGGCGCCTTAACTTTAAAATTCTGTGATTTTTCCGCGTTGAGTGACGGATATTTTGCATAAAATAAAAAACAATTTCGTCAGTCAGGTATTTTGGGGGTTTTCGTTTCTTAGTTTTTTCTTGATAAAATAAAAATTAAACAAATGAAACAGAAGTGAAAAATATGAAATATTCCAGTCAAGGTAAGTAGTTTTCTACTTCCACCGACGAATTTTTGCGTTGCCTTTCAACCCTCAACAAGAATAAAAAAAAATGTTCTTCAAGGAATACACTAAAATGACTCATCATGAAGAGATAAATTTATCAGTTGACAGGATCCGACTCGAGGGCTGACTCAATGCTCATATCTAAAAGGGTAATTAAAGCGATATTTTTCTAACCCATTATCAATAAATATATCGAGTCATGCACGAACTAGTTCCATCGTATCTCTAGAAAAAGCGATCAAATAATTGATAACGTTGGGCAACATCATTTTACGACGGCTCTTTTCCACTCAACATGAGGCAATTATCTATTATGCGTAACTTGCTTATAAAGCTAACCCCGCTCAGATAACAAAGTTTAGTGAATATTCCACTTTTCTTCAAGTGAAATCATCCTTTTTCATTAATACTGCATTACTAAGCTGATCAGTGAATACCCTCTGGGCTGCCACTGTGGGGCTGCAGAAGGCCACGGCCCTCAGCGTACGGATGGAATCCTGGTAATGTGAGGCTGGAAGAATGAAGCACGGTGCGTTACGGTGCGGTCAGCGATGTGACATGTGACATAGACTTCTGATAGGAATAACTTGGGGGCGCGGAGGCTATGCCTCCTCACTGCTTTGCGGTCCAATCGGGCTCTATATGGTAGCAAATACCGTGACTCTGATCGTATTCACAAAGGGTAAGATAAACGCTACCAGATGTCTGGTTATCTTTACCTGAAAGTACCACTGTGTCAAATATTAAGTAAACTTATGATAGAGCTTACCATACTTCTGGTAAAATTTGTCGTACCTTTTTTTGGTGTAATGGCGACTCTCGCAAGGAAGCAAAGCTGGGTCTTATCTAATGAAATCCATCTGAATAATCTATCCGAAGTCTCAATGGACATCGATAGATCTAGATGAATTCAAATGGACTTGACCCACTCTGTCCAACTCGGCTCTTCCAAAAATTGTAAGTACTCATTTCGTCCACTGATAAAAAAAAGTCTTTCGGACCCTGAGTCCAAAATCTTGAGAAATTTGACAAGAAAAAGAAAAAGAAAATCTGCTTAAAATAAGAGGCTTGGCTCTCCATTCAAACAAAAATCCTACTGAATCGAGAGTATTTTTTCTTGTCACAGGCTCACAGGGTCTGGGCTCAGGACCCAAGAGACTTTTTCCCCCAGTGTCTGCTCGAAAGGGAAGGGGGGCGCTGTCCGAGAAAAATCCCATGGCGTGGACTTAGTAATCAAAAAACGCATCCGGTGTGGGAAATAGGGATGGACAAATATCGAATTCGAATGCGATTATTCGAAACTTTTCGATTGCGATTATTTGAGAAATCGAATCTTGCGATTTCGAATACTTCGAAGCGAAAATTCGAATCTTTCCGATTATCGCTCCGATTTTTTATTTTTTTGTAACGGGTTTCCGCAAATATAACAGGATGACGGAACAAAGCTTGCACAGGGCTTTATTTTTCGCACTTCTAGAAAAATATTTCTACACGATGGACTTTTTTCGAACCATACTGGTAGTAACTTGGACTCCAAGGCATGTGGGTCTGTACTGAATAGTCTGTAGGTCTAGAGGGGAATTTTTTAACCTCGTGATTTCGAACTGTAGGAAGGAAACCTCTTTCGAATATTGATCGAATAATAACCGACTATTAGAATACTTTCACCAAAATTCGATTGTGATGCGATTATCTCGGTGACGATATTTCGAATATCGAATATTCGATTATTGAAGTGTTCGACCATCCCAAGTGAAATGAGCCTGAAGAACCAGCCCACAACCCACGACCACGAGAAGATGGAGAATGCGAAATGGGTGACAGAGGGGGGAGGGGGGGGTGCTGCAAATAAATAACCAGGAATAACCACATCCGGGGGTACCGATTCACTGCTCATCTTTGAGACAGCGCGCGGCGCGGCGTGCGCCCTTCTTGGCCTCGCTGATGGGCTCATGGTGCGACTGTGACTTGTCGCGATGCAGTGCGAGGACGGCGAGGTCTCCGGACGCCAACGGTCGAAGCTGCCGTGCTGAGGAAGAACGCCGTATCAACATTCAAGAGCTGCCAAATTTCCTTCGATTAAATATTCATTTTTTAGGAAAGTTATGGATTTTTTTCCTTGAAATTTTCAAGAACTTTCGGTTCGGTGAAATTGCGGACAAAATTATCTCAAAAATCGGGAGGAAAATATTGATAAGTTTATCAGGAAATTCGTGTTTTATCGAAGGAAACCTGGCAACGCCTGAAGGCTCGTACGGCGTTTTACCTTAGCACGGCAGAACGGCACCCATGACATGCGACGCACGTCCAACACCGCAGCGGGCCCGGACGGGAGGATGACGCGCTTTGCATTCGACTCGAACGAAAGGCACCTCTAATAAAGCACTTCTACTCATTCCTCTGTCAGTGAGAGAACAGCCCGAGTACACTGGAAAAAAAAAACACATTGGATCTAGAGTCCAGACTTTTGAAAACATTGATAAGAAAAAGGACTCTTGACTCATGATTCAATCAGATTTTTGCTTAAATCAAAAGGAAATCCGCTCAAATTAAGAGGCTTGGTTCTTGATTTAAGCTTAAATCTGATTTAATCAAGAGTATTTTTTCTTGTCGATGTTTTTAAGAGTCTGGACTCTAGATCCAATGTGTTTTTTTTCCAGTGCTTCAAATTGAGGTGCTGGATGTAGAAAGGGCATTCCTTGGATGCGGAATCTCCGCTAACGTTTCATCCATTATAACGGGGGCAAATTTACGGAATTGGTTGAAACTTTTACTGCATTTTAATCATAGTTGTGCAGTGCTGAAACTGAAAAAGGTCAGAAATTTCACTCAATAGTTTCCTCTCTGTAATATAAATTAGCAGTGGAGATTCTGAAACGCCGCAACGAAGAAATGCTCTTTCCGTAGCCAACGCTTCAGTTGATTTACACTTGAGCATCTGCTGGAAATTTCACGATAGCAGGAGGATTTATCGGAACGAGAGTAAACCTGGATGGAGCTGACTGGAAGAGCACAGGAGAGCGATGCCACATCGGGGGGAGGTGCGAGGACGGCGAGGTGTGGGGACTGTGAGGTGTGATTCGCGAGGATCTCGGCTCAGACAACAGACATCCAGACGCGAGATGAGGGTCTCGGTGTTGACTCTTGATGTTGGTGTTGGATACCGTTGGGTTCCGTTCCGAGATTGAGATTCCGAGCACCGTGCGGAGGTGGATGCGAGAGGGAGCACCTGCCCCCCTTCCTTTAAACCCCCCCCCCCCAATATCACGTTACCCGACTTCCAACCAGGGTTGCCGAATAAATCCCTCGACGTTTACTCAAAATAATTAATCCCATTCATCGTCCATCGCCAGATGAAACTTATCTTTCATATCATTGAATTAATCAGTTCGAGTTCCGGCCGAGGACCAAGTTCAAAGCGGGAACCGATTCACATCAAGAGGAGACCGAGAGAAGATTACAAGTTATTACCTCCTCTTTTCGTAGTGGTTAGGGTTAAAAATACAATTCTAAGTCTATTTCAAATTGACGATGAATTTTTTCAGGGCGCAAAACTACTGATAAGTAGTTGCTCCCCGGCTCTCCCGCAAATACGCTTTGGTTTCTTTCTGTA